CTTGCACCTGCTGCTGGCCCCAGGCCTGCTTGCACCCACTGCCGGTGCCTGGCACCTGCCCCTGATCGCTTGGTGCCATCAGCAGGTGCAAATGGCAGCTGCCAGCCCCGATTGCCCCTGAGGGCTTCTCCACCTCCCCCTGCTCCTGAGGGGTGATTGGGGCCAGCAGCTGCCACTTGTACCCACTGCTGGCACCTGCCCCAATTTCTCTGCACCGTCAGCGCATGGGAGCAGTGCAACAGCAGCGGGGCTGCTGGCAGACAGGGGACCGAGGGCCCTCCTGCCCCAATTTCTCTGCACCGTCAGCACATGGGAGCAGTGCAACAGGAGCGGGGCTGCTGGCAGACAGGGGACCGAGGGCCATGGCGGGAGAAGCCAGGTGGGGGCTTGGAGAATGGGCCGAGACCTGCTCCTGTGCCCACTGCAGCCTCGCGGTGGGAGAAGCCAGGTGGGGGCTTGGAGAATGGGCTGAGACCTGCCCCTGTGCCCACTGCAGTTCCTTTCAAGGTGCACAAATTCATGCACTGAGCCCTTAGTAGACATCTGAAAAGATGCTCAATGTCAGTAATCATCAGAGAAATGCAAATTAAAACCACAGTGAGATATCACCTCGTACCTGTCAGAATGGCTGTCATCCATAAATCAACAAACAACAAGTGTGGATTAGGATATGGAGAAAAGGGAACCCTCATCCACTGTTGGTGGGAATGTAGATTGGTGCAGTCACTATGGAAAGCAGTATGGCAATACCTCAAAAAATTAAAAATGGAACTGCCTTATGACCCAGTGATTCCACTTCTGGCTATATTTCCAAAGAAACCCAAAACACTAATTTGAAAGAATATATGCACCTCTGTGTTCATTGCAGAGTTATTTACAATAGCCAAGATACGGAAGCAACTCAAGTGCCCATCAATAGACAAGTGAATTAAGGAGATGTGATACACATATACACTAGAGTATTACTGGGCCATTAAAAGAATGAAATCTTACCATTTGCATATGGATGGACCTAGGGGGTATTATTTCCTAAGTGAAATCAGTCAGACAGAGAAAGACAAATACCATGTGGTTTCACTTACATCTGGAATCTAATGAACGAAATAAACAAGCAAAATAGAAACAGACTCATAGATACAGAGAACAGATGGATGGCTGACAGAGGAGAGGGGATTTGGGGGCTTGGTAGAAAGGTAAACGGATTAAGAAGTTACAAATTGGTAGTGACAAAATAGTCATGGGGATGGAAAGTATTGCATAAGGATTATTGGGTGGGCCACTTTGACCAGTATGTGACTGTCTAACTGCTATGCTGTACACCTGAAGGTAATACAAAGTAATATTGAATGTCAACTGTAATTGAAAAATGAAGTTTAAAAAAATTGTTAACTGTTGGCCAATGGGATGTGAACCCAGGCAGCATGAATTGAAACCCTCTCTCGTCATCACTGTAGTGCCTCCAGGACATGACTGAAGGAGTCTTGATTACTTCCTAGGGCCCAACCTGACCTGCTATTGCTGGAGGATTCAGGCTGTCTTGCTGATTGTATATCAAGGGTCATGAATAGCAAGAGCAGATTTACAAGCTTCAGCATTTGTTATTTTTTTGGCTGCATGGTGTCGCAAACAGTTTGATATAGTCCCATAGATAGTATATTTGTTGGGGGAGGGGTTGGGTGGGAGAGTGGAGGGATTGAGCAAAAAAGAAAAAAGAGAGAAAAAACTCATGGACAGGCATAACAGTGCGGTGACTGTTGTGGGGAGAGGAGAGGCGGAGGAGGGTATCAGAGTGTAAATGGAAATGGAGGAAAGCTTGACCTGGAGGTGGTGGACACACAATACAGTATACAGAATTGTGCACCTGAAACCTGTATAATTTCGTTAACCAGTGTTACCCCCATACATTGAATAAAAAGGAAAAAAAATAAAAAAATACCTTACATCTCCACGTGGGGATAATCTTAAGCTAATTGGATATAACAGGAGAATATGAAAATGTGTGAGTGTTTGTAGTCTTTGATATATTAAAGTTTGGTTTATAACGTGCTTAAATAGGCATTTTTAAAGTATAGCCTTTTAAATAGTGTATGCATGTCTAATACTAAATTTGTGTGTGTGTGTAACAATCCGAAATCCATCTATTAGCAACTTAATAAAAATATGTAATTTTCTCTTGGTTTGTATTCAGACTTCTAAACATTTCCTCCTTTGATATCATTCAGGTAAAATGCTGTTTAGCACTTGAATCTATTAAACGTAAATTGGTACCTTGCAGTTGGAATTTACCAACTTCCCTTGTTAACTAGGTAATTACTTTTGTGACTGAACTGGCATGGAATGTTCTACCCAGGAGGAAATAGCTCCCCCTTCCCAGCTATCCCCTTTTTCTTTATACAGCCATAAATGCCACCCAGGTAGCTCTACCTGCATTGCAAGGTTCCCCAAGGCAGCGATTTTCTAACTTGCAAAGGTTAAGAGGGACTTGTGGAATTTTACCTAGGGCCTCGACTTTTTCATTTGCAGTTTCCTAGGTTTCCCTGAGCCCTCCTGTTTATAGATTTTGATTATTTTGATGCAGCAAATTTAAAAGCTTTATCTTTTACTCCTCTTTACAGGGAGAGAATTGGGAGAACAACAGAGCCACGGTTGTGCTTCTCCCTTTGTCATAAAGACTAATAATCAAAACAGTAAAATAGCTGACATGTCGAGCCTGCACTTACTACACCATGCCAGGCATTACACTGTGCTCACTTGTTGAATTCTCACAACACAATGTAGTAATTATTACCACCATTCTTTCACAAGTGAGGGAACGGTTGAAGCAGCTAAGTCATTTGAACATGTAAGTGGTGGAGATGGGATTTAAGCTTACACAATGTGCTTGAAAGGTTCCTAGCATAATTTTAATCCAGAATATCAGTTGGATGTTGGGCAGAAAAATATCGGTGATTTTTGAGCTCTTTTTTGTCCACATTAGAAAAAAAGACAGAGCCTTGGTGGTGTGGCTCAATTGGTTGGAGCATCGTCCCGTGACCAGAAAATCATGGGTTTGATTCCCGGTCAGAGCACATGCCTAGGTTGTGGTTTCGATCCCTGGTTGGGGTGCATTATGGGATGTGACTCACCGATGTTTCTCACATCAATGTTTGTCTTACATTAGGGTTTCTCTGTCTCTGTTTCTCTCTCTGGCCCCCGCCTCTTTTTCTCTCTCGCTTCTCCTTCCTTCTTTAGAAAATAAACTAGAAAAAAAGAAAAGACATTCCTTCTATATATCCTATATAATGTGTTCACGGCTTTCTCTCTCGCTTCTCCTTCCTTCTTCTTTAGAAAATAAACTAGAAAAAAAGAAAAGACATTCCTTCTATATATCCTATATAATGTGTTCACGGACCTAGTTCTTTTCCATGCTACTGATGTTAACACAGACTCCTAGGAAAGATGATTAAAATCCTGCCACTTGTCCAGGAGCACGTCTCTGCTGTGGCTGTGAGTGGAGCTCCACGGGGCGTAGCTGCCTCTGCTGAGTGCTGGGGAAAGACAGTGCGGCTGTCATCTCCAAGTCCTGGTGGTAGGGGCTGCCAAGCCTACTGTGGCCTTCAACTGCTGCAGCCTGCTTGCCCTAGGTCCCTGGGTTGGTCACGCGTCTGGCTCTTGTGGCAGCTGGGAGAAATAAAGGGCTTCCTGTTGGAGCTTGGCATTGCCACGGTGACTAAAGGCTTTCTTTAGTCTTTTGTGTTTTTTTCAAATTCTCTCCTTTCAGTTGCTCGATTGTGCCTATTTTGACCTCTGACTTCTGTGTTGTATTTATAATCTCATAGTAACACTTTACACTGAAAAAATCTTAAATATGATCTCCTTCTACCTCCTACTTCCTCATTTATAGATGAAGAAGCTGACTCACAGACATGAAATGAATTATTCAAAGCCATGGGACTAGTGGCCAGGATAGAAGCCAATCTTGTGACTCTAGTGATTTTTTTTCCCCCTGTTGCTAAGTGACTTGTACCTCCCTATGTCTTGCTTCCAGTCTCTTATTTGCTCGTCTTGATCCTGGCTTGTTGGCCTGTCTTCCTGACCTCTTGGCTTTGTGTCCTGCACTGGATGAGGGAACAGTTGTTTGTTGATGTTAATCCCAGCTTTGGAATTACTGTGTGACCCCTGCTAAAGTCTCTTGGTGCCTTAATATCATTATCAGCAGATTAAGGAGGAACCTTACAAAGAGGTCCTTAAGAAAATAGAAATCATGTGAGCTGGGGACCTGTTTTTTTATTATTTAATGGAAGAGAATTTTAGAAAATTGAATGAAAACAAAAAAGTATAGGTAAAAATAATCAGGTGTTAAAGGTTTCATGTTGAGTAGGCTGAGCAAGGACTCACACTAAAATGAAAGAACCTTTAGGCCAAGTTGTTATGTAATGTAGTTCATTGGAGAGGGTACTGTTTTGCCATCTTTGCACAATATCTGTTGGATCAAATTCTGAGCTGCAGGTGGTAATGTAGATTATTTGTACGTTTTACTTTTAATCCCTTTAAACTTGGAAAAACATTTGCTTGAATTGTTTTAACAGATCTGATTAATCAAGAGGAATGTAGATTTCTTTTTAATGTTGTGACATTTGGGTATAACAAAAAAACTAGATGCTTAGGTTTAATCCGACTTTTTCAGTCTATTAACTTCTTTGAAACCCAGTTTCCCTAGACATAAATGGGGGAAATAGTCCGAGCTTACAAGTGAGAGTTATGAGGATTAAGTAAAACAGCACTAGCACAGTGCTTGGTACATAGTAGGTTGTTTATCTGAGTTAGCTTCCTTTTTTTCCTAATGATTGAACACTTTCCATTGTGTTTAGATATCTGATATCCATGTTACTGGAGAGTCAGAGGATATGTCTGCGAAAGAGAGATTGCTGCTCTGGACACAGCAGGCAACAGAGGGTTATGCTGGCATACGGTGCGAAAATTTCACTACCTGCTGGAGAGATGGAAAACTGTTTAATGCCATCATTCATAAATACAGGTATGGAATCTGTGGGACTTTTTTCCTTAGAGAAATATGAGTTTCTTTCATTTCCACATTTTAAAATAACCTTTTATTATTACAGAAGCAATATAGGTGTGTGGCAGAAAATTAGAAAATACAGACGAGTAAAAATAAAAACATGACATTCCCACCACTCAGAGATCTCCCCTTTAAGCTTGTGTGCACACGCAGGCACATATTACATAGCTGTAATATGTCTTTGGTTTGTGCCAGTAATCTAGCAGATAGTAAGCTCTGATATGTAGAATTTACAGGTAGGTGACCAAGTTTGTGTATATAGAGAACTGATGAGTAATAATAAGACAAATGTTTAGTTCAGGCTTAGAGCTCACTAATTTCCAAATTATAGTTTTCTACTCTAATTACTCTAGTGAGTAGCTCGGTTTAACAGTGGGCAGTTTAGCGATGGTAAAACACTTTTCTGCTGAGAATTAGTAACAGCTAAGTCCAAGTTAACACTTACCTAGCACTTACTAAGTCCCAGGCTCTATCCTAAGCAGTTTACATATATTAATTCATTTAATCCTCACCACAGCCCTAAGGGAATGTTGTCACCCCCAGTTAACAGAAAGAAACTGAGACACAGAGTAAACCCTTGCTAAAAGTCACACAGCCAGCAAGGGGCCAACTTGGGATTCAGACCCAGGCACTCTGGCTCTTGAGTTCATGCTTATCCTATATAATAAAACCCTAATATGCAAATCGACCGAATGGTGGAACAACTGGTCACTATGACATGCACTGACCACCAGGGGGCAGACACTAGACGCAGGAGCTGCCCCCTGGTGGTCAGGGTTCTCCCACAGGGGGAGTGCCGTTCAGCCAGAAGCTGGGCTCATGGCTGGTGAGTACAGTGGTGGTGGCAGGAGCCTCTCCCACCTCCATGGCAGCGCTGAGGACCCCGAGGGGTCCCAGATTGCAAGAGGGT